ATGACCAGTCACCATGTGGTTCAGGACATCCGACTATCGGAAGGAGGCCACAGTGATGTCACTAGAGCATGGCAGCCTTTCGTCCTGATCTGCTTCTGTGATTGAGGTTTCTCAGGTTTTCATATTAAAAACACACCATAGGAATGGAATTAATGCCCAGCCCTATCTTTTCCTGGAAACAATGTTCATGCACAAATATACAAACTACTCAGAAACGAAACCCCTGTCTCATCCATCTTTTCATAAGTATTTTCAGTAAAAATATATTTTTTGTTTTGTAATTCTCAAAATGCATACTAAATTTACATTATTTGTATCAGTTATATACTATTCATAATTATGATAACTCAATTCAGAAGACAAACAAATTTTAACATATGAAAGTGTTTAAATCTTGACTTTTGAATTTGTTTACATTGTTCTCTGTGATAGGGGAGTCAAAAGACTTTCAAACTAAAAATGTTAGGATAAAATTCTGTCGGGTGACAGGGAAACACGCAGCAAGAGAAAAAGGAGCTGTGCAAAAGTTCAGGTGTAGGAGCCCTGGCTGGCGTAGCTCAGTGGATTGAGCACGGGCTGTGAACCAAAGTGTTGCAGGTTCGATTCCCAGTCAGGGTACATGCCTGGGTTGCAGACCATGGTCCCCAGGAACTGCACATTGATGTTTCTCTCTCTCTCTCTTTCTCCCTCCCTTCCCTCTCTAAAAATAAATAAATAAAATCTTAAAAAAAAAGTTCAGGTGTTAAAGAGGCTATTCGTGTATATTTTCCCAACTGTGCATACCCTTTAAAATGTCATTGATATCTCTTTTTAATTTGGTCTGCTGCCTTTTTTAATTAATGTAATTTGTTTTTAGAGTAGTTTGGGGTTTATAGGAAAATTGAACAGAAGTCATGGAGTGTTCCCAAACACTGCCATCCCCCAGTCCCCTCTATTATTAACACCTTTCATTGGCGTAACAACTTGTTACAGTTAATGAGTCAATACTGATACATTCTTAGGAACTAAAGTCCAGGGTTTACACCATGGTCCACTCTTGGTAGTGTACATTCTCTGGGTTTGGACAAAAGTATGATGACACGTGCCCACCATCACAGTACCACGCAAATCAGTTCCACCGCCCTTAACACCGTCTGTGCTCCATCTACTGATTCCTTCTTTCCCCCTGGTTCCTGGCAACCACTGATTTTTTTTTTTCTTTTCGGGAGGGGAAGGGAAATAGAAAGAGATCAATGTGAGAGAGAAACATCGATCAGCTACCTCTCATACACTTCTCGACCAGGGACCAAACTCGCAGCCCAGGCTTGGGCCCTGACTGGGACTTGGACCAGCAGCATCTCACTTTGTGGGACAGCGCCCAACCCCCTGAGCCACGCCAGTCAAGGCAGCCACTGATCTCTCCACTGTCTCCATAGCGTTGCCTTTTCCAGAAAGTCATTGAGTTGGAACCATACGGAATGTAGCCTTTTCTGACTGGCTTCTTTACTCACAGTATGCGCTTTACTTTCCTCCAGGTCTTTTCATGGCTTGATAGCTCAGTTCTCTTCATAGATGAACAATATTCCATTGTCTGGATGGAGCACAGCTTGTTTATCTCTTTACCTTTCCAAGGGCTTTTCAGTTTCTTCCAAGACTGGGCAGCAAACACCCATGTGCAGATTTGTGTGTAGACATGTGTTCAGTCCTTTCGATAAATAGCAAGCAACATGATTGCTGAATCACATGGTAGGAACAGTTCCACTTAGAAAGAAACTGCCAAACTCTCTTCCAAAGTGGCTGCACGATTTTGCGTTCCACCAGCAGTGAGTGCGAGCTCCTGTTGCTCCCTGTCCTCACCGGCATTGGCTGTTACTAGTGTCTGTGGTTTGGCGATTCTAAGAGGTGTATAGCGGTATCTTGTTTTAATTTGCATTCCCCTGATGACCTGATGTTGAGCATCTTTTCATGTGCTTATTCGCCATCTGCGTATCTTCTCTGGTGAGGTGTCTGCTCAGCTCTTTTGCCCATTTTTCATTGACTTGGTTGTTTTCTTGCTGCTGAATTTTAAGAGTTCTTCATATATTTTAGATAACAGTCCTGGATCAGATACGTGTTTTGCAGATATGTCTCCCAGTCTCTAGTTCATCTTTTCATTCTCTTAACAGTGTCTTTCGCAGAGTAGAAGCTCCCTCTCCAAAATGGAGTGGGGGTGGGCACTAGATGCTGGTGGAGAGCTGGCTTCCCCTGAGGAGGCCACAACCTGGGAAGATGAGAGGGTAGCTCCTCTTAAGTGACTTGGACTCCTGCCCCTGTGGACACCGGCACATTGGGACTGCCAGGGGCAGGCACTCACTCCCAGCTCCATTGCTCTCTGCTGCCACCCGCCCGCTCTACGCCCCTCTGTCCAGGACTTCAGGGTGGTGCCTTGCCTTGGCGCTTCCTTGCAAGGAATGTGCCCAATGTGCTTGCCCAATGTGCTTTGCCTTGCTCACTAGACTGCATATGTCTTTGGGGCAGGGGTGGGGTTTTTCTCCCTAAATGTCATCTCACAGTGCCCAGGAGCTGTGACTGAGCCATTGTAAAGATAGAAGCCAATCCACGGGAGGCAACAGAGAGACGAAGTGGGTGAGAAGGCAGCGTGGGTATTCAACCTCCACCCGTGTTGGCTGTGTGGCTGAGAACAATTGTGCATCCTGTCAGAGCCTCGGCCCCTCCACCTGTAATGCGGAGGTGCCAGCAGCATCTGCCTGGCAGATGGGCGAGAAGTGGGAAGATGAAGAGGGTGCTCAGCTCAGTGCCTGGCTCTTGCAAACTCTGTTCCATGCGGACAGCTGCCGTCAGGACTCTCCAGGCTGTGATGTGGCTGGGCTGGACTGGCTGTCAGTCTGACCCATCACAGCAGAGGAAGAAGCCCTGCCTCTTCGGGCTTCTTTCTTCCCATCAGCCACCGTTTCCTCAGGTGGGGACGAGGGAGCCCTTCAGATGACACGGAGCTCAGGGCATGGTCTCTGTGATTGCAGTTTTATTCTCAGGGTTTTGGGATCAGTCATGTGTCAGATGGACATTGCAATTGGTAGTCTAGCACAAAGAACTGAGACAATGATGTGTTGTTTATAGGGGTCAAGTTGCCGGGGACCCCCGGCCCAGGTTGGGTCCAGATTCAGCTAATGCTCATGGGAATTCAGTGGTTGTTTGGGGAGGCACTTACCTCCCTACCCAGCTGAGAGCCCCCCTGAAGCTGCTTCAGACTGTCTGTTCACCGCTCATCACCCAACCTGGCCCACGTTTTTGCATGTGAACATCTCTGAAATCTAGACACCTAAGGGGTGGAGCATGTTCTCAGTTTCTTAGAGGCACATAAAGCATTGGTGCATCTTAAAATCAGTGCTCTCCCAGAGTCCGTGGAGTGAGGGAGTCAGTGCCAACAAACACTGATGCATAAAGCATGCAGCCTGGAGCAACACGCCCGCCACTTGTAGACCTGCATTCTCCTATGCAATGGGCTCAAGACCCTCTGCTCTTCTGCAGTGACTGGACTGAACCCAGACTGAAGCACATTCTGAAAGCCAGGGGAACAGTGGATGTTAGACACTTGTGTTACAATTAAGTCACTCACCTCACTGCCTCTTATTTCTACAAGGACGGAGCCCAGAAGGTCAAGGGTCTAGTAGGGGGCCATGCAGTTACCTGGTGACTCAGCTGACTAGACCTCTGCCCACAGTCCTTGGTGGGGGGAAGGGGAGGAAAGAACAGTCCTCCCCTCTCCCAGAGCCTCTCACTCCGCTTCTGGTTGTCTCCTCCGCCCAGCTTAGCGTTGGTGGGCAGAGCTCAGTCAAAGAGAGGCCAAGGGTTGGAAAGAAACAGGCCTATGGAGTAAATCTGGAGGAAGAGGGACATATTTGGCACATCGCTGTGTTTTTATACTCGAGAATTGGAGACCTTGAACCTTCGCATGCAGATTTATGCCAAATGACATGCAAATCAAGGCCCTGCTCTTCTGAAGTTGTGGCCCCTCTGTTGCCTAAGACTGTGACCCTGGGACCCTTGCTTGCCTCTAAGAAATAAAGTGTGGGTGGGTTGGGGGAGAAAGGAAAGAAAAAGACAGCGATTTTACGAAAATGTACCAACTGGGCAAATACATCAGATATGCCACAAATCACCTGAGGTAAAGAGGTAAAGCAGGTGGGGATGGGGAGGTGGGGCCACGCGGGGGAAGAGGAGTGAAGTGGGTGCGCGAGGTCCCCAGGCAGTGGCCCGGGGCATTTATGCGGGTTGGCAGTAAAATGAATGATATGGAAATAAGTGCAAAGTATGTGCAGTTGCCGGGCCTCAGAGGCCCAAGAGCACGGGATTCCGCGCTTCCTGCATTTTCTCCTTGATTAACTCCCGAACCCCCCGCTCTTGGGGTAAGCGGGCCCAGGCGGGCGGCAGAGGGAGGGCGCCCCCTTCCGGGCCAGCTCGGAGGCGACCCGGCTGTTCCCGGGCCACGCGGCGGGCGGGCAGGCGGCCGGAGGAGGGGCTCCTGCCGCTCGCCTCCCGCCCGCCTCCCGTCCGGACGCCAGACGCTACCACTCCTAAAACTGCGAGGCGGGCGGCCGCCGACTGCTAGAGGTGGGTGTGTGCGGCTACGCGCTCAGCTTCAGGCCCCAGCCCGCCCGGGGCGCGGCCTCTGGAGCCCGCAAGGGTGGGCGCAAGCGTAGGGCCCGCCACCCGCGGCACCTGCGCTCCCTGCACGGCGTCCACACTGCTAGCCCCAAGGCAGCCGCGTCTCCCCCGCGTCTCCCCCCGAGGCACCCCGCGCTCCCGCACATTCACTCCGCGCTCCCCACTTCGCGGCACTGAGCGAGCGCTACTATCGCGGGCATCCCCCGCTTCGGAGGAGCGTGCATCCCTCTCTCCACCGCACCCCGCGCTCTCTCTCTACAGAAAAGCGCTCCCCCCAGGATCCGGCAGCACCCCCTCGAACCCCACCCCCCGCACGGCACCCGGCGCACCAGCACACACACCCCACTCCCACTCGGTGGAGCGGCCCCCACAGGGCCACTGGCTGTACCCCCAAGAGCCCCTGGCACAGTTGGTAGGGCGCGCCCCGAGGTCCGCGGCTGCCCCAGGGCAAGGACAGGAGAGGCGGCGAGCCGAGGCCCTCCCCCGAGCCGGCCCCGCAAGGAGCCTGGGCCCCTCTCCCGCGGCCGGCGCCCCGGGGCGGAGCCGAGGGCGATGGGCGCGGAGAGGGAGGCAGGTGGCGCAGCAGCGGCGGCGGGGGGCAGGAGGCGGAGGCGGAGCGCGCGGGGCGGGGGCCGCGGGGCCCTGTGAGACAGTCGGGCGAGCGCGCGGCAGCCGGAGCCGGGCGCCCGCGAGCCAAAGGCGCGGCGGCTGGACCCGGCGCGGCCGCGGAGGCCAGAGACCGCCCGGGGCGGTGCTCGCGCTTTGTTCCCGCTCGGGCAGCGGGGCGGGCGGAGCGAGCAGCCTGAGCCGAGCCGGGGAATGGCCCAGGCGGCCGCCCCGCGCGCCTCGGCCCCGCCGCGCGCCTGATTCTGGCACGGCGGGAGAAGACGGCGCGTGGATCGCCCCCAAGTTACGGAGGTGGGCACCGAGTTCGAAGGAAAAGCCACTTCAGGAGCCAGGTCGCGACAGTGCGATCGCCTCCATCCGCCGGACCTCCGGACCGTAAGTGCCCCGTCCATCCCACGCGCCTCCTTCGCTGTCACCCCGACTTCTCCCGCGGCTGCCGTCCTGGCATCTTCTTGCAGCCCTTCTGGCAGCCGCGCCGAGTGCACCGGCGGCCCTCAGCACCCCCCTCCCCACTTTGCAAAGTTGGAGCCCATGGCAGGGTGGGGCCGGACCACTCAGCGCCCACCCACTTGGGCTGACTGTCATCCTCACCGCCGTGCCCCCCAGGTGAAGCGGGAGCTTGACCGCCGGGGATGTGGTCAAACTTAAGGTGGGAACTGCGTGTGGAAGGCGGAGAGTCCCGCAGGCTCCCCTGACATATCTGGGCTTCCTGACAAAGGCCCTGGGCCAGGTGACAGGGGATGGGAGGGGGCGCAAAGGGCGACCCTAGGAGTGATGGAGGTGCCGGTGACCTGGCTGAGGAAGGTGGTCAAAGCTCCCTCCAGCGCTTCCCTCTCTTGTTTTGGTCCGTGGCTCCGTCCTTCAGGAGAGTGGTGGTCAGGAGTTAGGCCGTCTTGGGGTGAAGTCTTCTCAGACACCCCCAGGGGGTCCTGCCCACTCTGAATGGATGGGGAGGGGCTTGAAAGCTTTCCGGGGTCCTGACAGCCCGCGGTGCCTCCGCGCAGCCCAGTGGCAGCGATTATGCTCACACCCTTAGGGACCGGTCCATCTGCGTGCAGGGCAGGCTGGGAGCCAGGCTGTGGGAAGGGCAGGGAGGGAGGTGTGAGCCGACGTGGAGGGACAGATGGCTGGAAATTCAGCCCTAGATGGGGTTACATGAAGCAGAAGACAGTGGGGCTGGTGGCAAGCCTTGTTGTGAGCCACTGTCCTCCGTATACAACCCCCGGCTGTCCCTCCTTCCAGCCTCTGGGAACTGTGTGTGTCCTGGGCCCAGGAGCCACGGAGAAGTGGTTAGACCCCCATATTTGTGGTAACACGCACCTTTCCCTCCCCCCCAAAACTGTATTCCCCTTTATTAGAGCCAGGGCCTGTTCCAGAGGCCAGGGAGAAAAATATTTCCTTTGAGAACAGAGGAGACCTTATGCGCTGGTGTGTGGTGAGCTGAATAATCGTCGGGCCCTGTCTTTGGCCCTGTGGCCAGGACGCTGCCTCATTATGTCTGACTGGGTGTGTGTTTCCTCCCCTAGACCCAGAGACAGGAGGTTCCCAGGGCAGCCAACCCCAGAGGACAGGGCTTGGCTGGGAACAAAGGGGGGTAGCTATTCTGTGTGCTAGCATTACAAGTTGCTGCAAGGGTCGAGAAACTTCTTGAGGCTGAGACCCCCGGAGAAAGGTGGGCTGTGCCTGAGAGGGTCCCTCCCTCACCTGTGCCAGAGGCAAGGTGGCCCCTGGCACCCTGGCTGCAGCACAGGGACAGGAGGGTTCTGCTCTCAGTTCCCGGGCACAGTTGTTCATAGAAAGCTGGCACTGTGACGTGCACTGGGGTCAAGCTGCGTCCTTTGCCCCACCCCACCCTTCTGTCCTCTGGACAAGGAAAGCTCAAAAACTCAGCGGGGCCCAGCAAGCGCAGGGTCTGTTCTGTGCAGCCAGTGCTGTCATGCCCGCACAGCGGCACTCTCTGGGGGGCTGGTGGCCAGGCTACTCTCATGTGTTGAAAGGGAACAGGAGAGAAAGGAGATAAGCGTAAGCAGCGGGGACAGATGTGGCATTCCGTGCTCCCCAAGAGCTAGACAGACTCCGGGAGGTGGGGGGAACATCACATTAGGGCCAATTTTCTGGAGGAATCCAACTCTCTCTGGTGGTGCCTTCATCTGTGTGTGATGGGAGGAAGGGACAGTCGCATGTGTGGTACCTGCTTGCTCACAAGCCCAGCTGGGGCTGGTGGGCTGGAGGACTTCAGCAAGGCATCTCCCTCCAGGACCCCCTGGGGCCGCCTCAGGCCACCCACCAGCCCTTTCGGTCTGCATGCTCTTCCTCTGTCACCAGGTTATCCACATAATTGAGTTACCACCTCCAGGAAATCTCTCTGATTTGGCTCCACATACTTTCATTTCTGCATGACTGGAAGAAATTAATTTTCCTTCCTACGCAAGGATCTGGAGACGCCGGAAGGCTGGGTCACTAATCCAAAAGATTCAAGCCAGCAGGGCTGCCACTTCTCAGAGGACCAGCCAGCCGATTATCCCCCAGGGCAGCAGGAAGGGTGGGGTCTGAGCAAAGCATTTCCCTGCTTCCCAAAACCTTCCTGGGGCTCCTGGCCTACCTCCCCCTTCCCTGTGGCTTCGTGAGTAAGTGGTGTTTGAGGTCATGTGATTCATCCCCAGCCTGCTATGGCTCCAGGATACCCAGGGTAGTGGTTGAATTCCGCTGACCTGAGTCGCCTCCCCTGTCAGTGAGTGGGGTGCGCACGTGTGTGTGTTAGGGATCCAAAACAGGGAAGAGGCTTTGCAACCCACCTCCCTGGAGTATGGTGAAGAGCTAGCTGCACGTAGTAGGTGCTTCGTGAAGGGAGCTCTCAGGGAGGGAACTGGCATTTCTGTGGGGCAGCTCTGTCCTGCTTGTTGCCTCTTGCACTCGGCTGCCCACTGCACTGCTCTGACCAGTCCATGCCGTCTGTCCGTCACATCAGCACTGAGTGTCAGCACCTTGTTGAGCGGTTACTATTGGCCGAGCCCCGCTCAGCACTCGTACTCACTGTCTGAGTCTGCATGACACCTGCAAGGCTGGTGGAACCTTCCCTGTTTCACAGATGCCCAAGAGAGGTGCAGGCTCTTCAGGCCCAGGAGGGGAGTCTGGGTTCTGACCATCCCCTCCCTTCTCCACACAGCGTGAAAATGGCCACCTGGCTTCTGGCCCCCACTGCTGTGCTGGCTTCCCTTTGCCTGAGGCCCTCCTGCCCTCATCCCTGGCCTTCCTCTCAGCATTCCTTCTGCACCTGTGGGGACAGGTGGCTGGCTGTTTTGTGTTGACAGGGGTTAATGCCTCAGATGTCGGAACTCCCACCTGGACGCGCCTCAGGCATGGGACGCACAGCTGGGACGCACAGCTGGGACTGACGCAGAGGGTTCCTGAGGTCGGGGCGGGCGGGCGGGGAAGAGCACCTCTGCCCTGGCCAGGTCACGGGTGCCCAAAGCCAGCCCCGTCCCAGCTATTTCCAGTTCACACCGGAGCTGGGAGAGGATTGTTGCTGTCCGAGGCCCTCGAGAAGCCGCTGGACGTTGTCTAGCGTCCAAACAGAGCATCCCATGGATAGGAAGGAAGCACGTCTGGGCAGCTGGTGTCACCTCCCAGGCCTGGAAGGAGGCGGGTGGCCTGAACTCTGTCACTTGTAATGCAAGAGTACAGCCTTGCCATGACTTCACTTACTGCCCAGAACTGGCTCTGGGCAGTAGCTGTCACTGGCTGCCCATTCACGGAGCAGACGGCGAGGGGACACCTGTGCTGTGTGCGCCAGGCAGGGGCAGAGCAGTAATAACACAGTACCGACAAAAACTCACTGTGCTAGGCTCTGTGCTGTCAAGCTCCCTGTCATTTGACCTCATAACAACCCTGAAGGTGGGTACCCTGGCTGCCTCATTTTCAAGACAGGGATGCAAAGGCCAGAGAGGCTCACGAGAGACAGGTGGGCAGGCTCCACACTGCTGCTCCCGTAGGGTAGAGGTTCACCAGGCTCCTGGAGCTTTCTCTGTTTGGAACCCTGAGAGCCGGTGTGGGGCCCCCAGGCACGTGCTCACTCAGAGCCGCTGGAGATCTGATGTGCACCCACCCCTGAAGACACTGCCTGGTCCAAGCAGGGGCAGGAGGAGGCTGGGAAGTCCTGATTGGTGGGTGTGGCCTTGGAGGGCCAGGGCTCACTGGGAGCAGTGGAGAGGGGTTGGCAGGCTCTTTTCGGGACTGTGTAACACGGCCTCCGGGAGAGTGGGTCTCCCAGGTCCCAGCCAGGCTGGGCGGGCACCACGCTGTGTATTATAAGAAATCAGTCACTCACTGGCTTACTTTGGCTCATGCTTGCGGCTCTCGGTCTCCTCGGGACTGTTTGGAACAATGAACCGCACCTCCAAATCTTTCCCTGGGGTCTTGTCCCCAGTCTTACGGGCAAAAAGAGCAGGTCTGTTTCTACTTCTGTGGTCCCCCAAGGCTGGGACCTCCTCCCCTTTACATGGGGCCCAGACGAGGCTGAATGGAGGGCAGGGGCTGCAGGAGAAGGCCCAGCCCTCAAGCGCCTCTGAGGGCCACCTTCAGCCAAGAACACTAATGCAGGCAGGGCTCTGCTGTCTGGAAACAAATTCCTGGAGTGGAAGCCGCCCTTGCAGCATCAGTGGAAAGACCCAGGCACAGACCTGGCGTCCAGGATGGAAACTCATGATGACAAAAGTGATAAATAATTGTTACCTGGTTCCCACTTCTGAGTTCACAGCCAGACCCAGGGCGTGGGGCGCAGGGTTGGGCTGGAGCCTCAGGCGTGCGAGAACCAGGATGCGCTTCCCGCCGCGCTGTGTGCAGCTTGGTTTCCTGCAGCAATAAAACAGAAGTTAAGACTTCTGCTTTTTGTAATTCGTGGGACCTCACGGTGAGCCAGATGTCACTGGAAGGAAAACAAAGATGCGTAATAAGGAAGATGTCTCTTTGCCAAGGCGCCAGCGCCCCCTCTGCTGCTCAGCCACATGCTCTCGGCTGTCTGCCTCCGTCCTGTTCGCTGTCCACACACATTGTCAGCCTTCCAGAGCCCGAGGTGCTGGGAGCCACCCGGGCTGCCCCTGGGGCCGGGAGTGGGCAGGCGTGGCAGCAGGAGGTTTGGAGAGGATGTCCTAGCTCTGGGCATTCTTCTGTTTACTTGAGTGGAGGAAAGTCCACAGTGAGGGCAGGGCGGGAGGAGGACGGGCAAGACAAAGGGCCTCTGGACCTCTCAGGGGCAGGTCAGGAAAAGTGCTTGCGCACCAATGGCCCTGGCTGACATGTGGGACTAACAAGGAAGCTCTCTCCCTGTGGTCCTGACCTGGGAGCAGCCAGGAAAGGGAAGTCCTTTGGCTGCCCTG